CACTCGTTCCCTGCACGACGCTATTCCGATCTGCCTGATAGAATGGGATGGCGCGGTCAAGACAGAGCTCGACTTCGTCTTGGCTTTCAATTCTGCCGCCCCTTTGTGAGTTATGGGCCTACTGAGTTCAACCGTGGTGTGCCTGCAAGCCAAGACGAAGTCGAGCTTCCTGCGCCGCAGCGTCCTCCTCTCCGTTTGTGACGACTCGCAAACTTCCACTGTCAACCCCTGTTCCGCGATGAACTTCACGTGCGCACGGCTCTTTCCTGGCGTTGGCGCGGTCAAGACAGACCTCCATCATCATCATCATCGTCATCGTGATCATCATCATCGTCATCATCGTCATCATCATCATCGTCGTCATCATCATCATCATCATCACAGCATTGCAGCGCCGCCTCTGAGGCCGCCTTGAAACATCCTCAAACCCTCTTTCACCTCCATCTTCGCATCTCGAAAACAGAACTCTGGCCTCTTCACCTTCATCTGACTTCCTCTGGTGGAACTCCTTCCGGGCCAAATCCAAACTAAGGTTCCCAGGCCAGGAAGAAGGAGATGAGTTTGAAGAAGGTCCATGTTGATGACATGACTTTTGGTGGAGAAACTCAAGTCCAGCATTGGCAAAGACAGTTGATCAATTGCAAAGAGGGTAATGAGCAAGAGTGGAGTTGGTACATTGTTGTGCAATCGCAAGAGCAAAAGAGTTGGCTGGGCGGCATTTACAAGTTCCCACAGAAGGAAGCTGAAGACCGTTGTTGAAGCCAGCTAGCAGATCTTGGCAGGGAAGAGAGTCAGGATGCTTATGTACTTGACCGGTTTTGAGAAACGCAATTTACGCAGGCCTTGCAGAGGCTAGAAGAGGACGAAGTGATGCGTCAATCAGCGATTGGCGCGGAAGAGGAAGTTGAATGGTATGAGGACACGCAGATCCAGTTCAATGAGCATGAGCGAGATGCAGGAACAGAATGGCCAAAAAAAAAAGAGGTTGGATTTCATGGGTTGGAGATCCGGGCTTGCCGTTTAACCAAGTGGTGAGCACTAAATCAAGAGTCAAAAGCTTGATGGAGAAGATCGACTACATGATCTGGGCCAACTGCGTGCCCATCAGGATGGTGAAGCTTGTCGCTGAGGAGTATGATCCAGAGAGGGAAGCTCCAAGAGGATCAAGAGATCCTGAAGGCTCAGTTCTAGTGCAAGGGGCGTTAAGTTGTTTGAATTTGAATGTTTCCATGGTTGGACCGAGTATATTCCACGTAGCTGAAGTTGTTCTTCAATGGAGTACTTTTGCCAAAGACAGCCATATCAGAAAGGGTCAACCGTTTCACATGTCAGTTCATGACTGTCACTACGCCTGTAACTAGGCTCAAGACTGAGCGGGTGGGTTTCAGCGTGCCCGTGAGAGCCTTCAAAACTTGTAAAACGGCGAGGGAGAAAGTGATAACATAGGGAAAGTAGAGGACATTCTTTGCAAAATCACAGGGTTTCAATGCCTTGGAGCGTGGCCTGCTTTATTACTATTTTTCCACCCTACTGTCCTGTAAGCAGTAAAGTTTTTGATGACTTCCTAGACAATAATATACTTTGCCTCAACGTGATCACCATGGACAGCAAGCTTTGCAATGTTATGAGTGCGAGCAGGTGAATATGGACAAATGTCCGGTGAGTTGAGTTGGGGAATGAACATGTATGAGCTGTATCCGCGAGGTTCCGCAGGCAGGTAATAGTACACTACACATGTGTGAATGTAAAGACAAACTCACGCGGGCTGGGCGCAATGTGCCGAGTATCCTGAGCCTTCAAACATGAAATGCTGATTGCAGGATCAACACCTCCAACTGGAGGTGCTTGAACCTGAATCGTTGTGGTGGATTGATTCAACATCTGGCCACCTACGAGTGAGATCCAATGTGCTTGATCCAAACAAGGAGTGGTGTGTTTGTGACGATGGCCATGCTTTGCAAGCCTGTTTGTGTGATGAGTCATTCCAGAAGAAAGACTTCTGGCTCTTCGAGCAGGGTGTTATTCGAGCATCCAGCGGCACAAAATGCCTCCAAGCTGACAAGACATTGGCAGTGGCGACTTGCCCAAACGGCCGCGATCTGAAGCTGCTTGGCCGGGTTTTAGGGGTTAGCAGATGTTAAGCAGCGGCCAAACACGTTTGAGAATAGAATCGTATTGTCGCATCTGGTCATACTTGTTGCATCTAGAGGCGAGAAGACGCAACTAGGTATCAGCTGCTCACGAATATGCAGTTTCCTTCCATTGGCGCATCACCGATTCTGGATCCTCACTCAATCTCGCTCAAGTATTTACCCCCACCAAAAAGAACATAAAGGGGTCGAGCGTCAGCTCATTCATTCCTTTTCGGACAAAACAGCTGGGCCTCCAAATGCAGGTCCAGCATCCACTACCCTTCATCGCACCACGGGAGCCACCTCACTACCATTCTTGGATCACCACCCAGGAACAATGCAATTCCAAGGCTTCGGCGCGAACTGGTGGATATTTTTTTATTTTCTCAGCTGAGGTTTCTTTGGTACTTCAAATTTGGGAATTGCTCCTTGGCAGGGTCTGGACAGATCTCGGAGGCTTGTTGTTATTCGTGTGCGAATGTTGAAAGGTGAAACCCTAGGCATCACTGGTTTGGAAACCTTCTTTTAATTTGGTCCTGTATTTCAAGTTTCATTTAGTTGCCATCCCATCCAGGCCCCTTCCAGGGCACGAAGGGACAACTGACCCCTCCTTTTGGTGCGAAAAAGAACCGGGTGGCGTCGTCCTGTTTTGAACAACAGCCGTTTGACTGTTTGACGGACATCAACTGAGCCACATGCGCTTTCATATTTGTGTGGCCTTCGCTTTGCTCACAGAACAATAGAGAGACGGCTGTTTCTGAGGAAGTGGCACTCGACTTCAGACGACACTCGTCTCCTGAACATCTCATGGCCGTTCGGCAATAGAAACCACATATGACAAATCGATCTGTCATGATCTGTTCACTCTCTCTCTCTCACTTTCAATGTAAGCTGTCGTTCAACGACAGCACGGACTCGAACAGACGCAAAGCTCAGCCGTGAAGGTCAATGGCAAAAAGGGGTTCCCACCCCTGTTCCCATGCACCGTTTCACCGACAAAAGAAACACCCACGCAAAGCTCAACAAACGCAACCAATGATCGGAATTGCACGATCGACGGAGAATTGGTTGCGCCCGACACGATTGAGTCTCTCTCAGTTGGGCAGCGCGGTCTTTAATCGTTTGGCCCAATCCTCCTAAGGACACATGCAACCAGCGGGCACTCTACTTGGAACTTTGAGGATCCAAAAAAGCGTAACTGCTACGCTTCCTTGCCCTTCTCCGAGGCGAGGCTCGACATAGAGACACCGAACTCGAACTTGGATGGAGTGAAGGCGGTCAAACCCAGATTCAGGCACTACTAGGAAGAAGGACGCTACTAGGGGCTCCTGGCGTACTACTAGGAGCAAGGACGATACGAACGGGGCTCCTGGTCACTCACAACATATTCCAAAGACGTCGTGACATCAGTGTCAGACGGAAAGAAACCTGAAACCTGCTGTCACGCGTTCGGCTTGCGTTTGCCCGCATAATGATCGTTTGGATCGCGTAATCGAGTGCACAGCGGATGTTTAGAGACCAGCGAGGTAACCCCTCCTATTCGTCAAGGAAGATCTGGATTCTGAAAACCTTGATAGGCAAAGTTGCAATCTCAGGACAGCCTCCAGAATTTGAGACCTGGATTTCTTCATCTCCAAGCCGCTCTAAGCGCTGAAGACCCTGCACTCCACGAGGACAGGATCTTTTGTTCCTACATAGTCAAAGCAGGCAAAACAGAAACAGCGTGTCCACCAATTATCCAAAGCATCAGAGACTCTACACTCATGAACTTGCCAGCTTCGGCGTAAGGCAAAGCATCCTCACAACAAAAGGCAACCCTCACAGCATTTGTGCAGACTTCGCCCAACGACCGTTGCTCTTCAACACTTCACCAACGAGCTCAAGCTTGCCAGGATCAAGAACAACATCAACTGCTCGACTTTTTCTGAGTCTTACTTTTCCTTTCCATGCTACTCAAGTCGGGCCTTCCATTCGTCATAGCCTTGGCATTTTCGAGTGACTTGAGAGCAGCCCAAGGCGAGCTTTCGCAGCTCGCTCATCCGGCCTTCAGGCCTAGGTATCAGCACTTTGGCCAGCAGGGACACCTTTAGCTGGCTTTTAAGAGAGTCGGACAGCCAGTCTGCAAGTGATGCATCCTGGCTAGACCGGCCACCACCCCGCAAATAACATGTGACTTGAACTGATCCCACTGTCGCCAAGCGCATGGCGCCACAGGTGACTTTGCTGCGGCGTCTGAGGTAGCTAGCCATGTGTTCTACGCTACCTAGCCGCCCAGACTCATGAATCCTACTGTCCTGCGCCTGCAAGTCTCAACAAAAAAGCCCTCCCTGTTAGCGGCGACCCCCTGTGCAACCGATCTGGTTGGCAAAGCAAGATCCTTGTTTAGAGTGACTGGCTGGTCGCGAACCTGCCTCACGACGCTGCCTGATCAATGACTATCGATCGCCCACCATTTCAGCCATGTGGGAGGTGTCCCCATTCAATATTCCAAGACTGAACTCATTTGTTCCTTTGGCCATCTCTGTGATTTGCCAGGTTTCTTTGGCTTTGATCTGAGCAACACCGCGCAGATGCTTTGGACAGCCACCGTTGAGACGGCGGCTGAGGCGTCGCCCTTGCGTTTGGGGAATTTGGCCTTCAAGGAGACTCGAAGCGAAGGCGAAGGCCAGGTGGGTTCCAACAAGGGTTCCAATGGTTCAAGGCTGAAGGAGTTGCTCATTGGGCCGGTTAGGTTTAAATGTTCTTGCAAAAACGTCGGGTTTGAATCAGATCACTAGGCCAAGGGAGAGGCAAAAAAAGGTCATTTGGACACTTGGAGCCATTCTTTTTGATGCTCCTCGAAGTGTTTGCATGCGAGAGGCTTGTTCCAGATATACCTCGATTACCCTCCTGTCAATGCCAAACTCTGCCTCCATGCCGACTTGACGATGAAATTGGGCCAGGGGTACATGATGCAAGTCTCATCCGACTGCCAATCAACTTTCCTTTGGAGAGGAACCCATATAGCCTATTTTCATCTTGGGGATTTGACGACCACCTACTACTTGCAGACCATCGAGGACAAAGATCATCAGCTACGTTTGATCGCCGCAAAGCAGACCACTCCTGGTCCCGAATTCAACTTCGTGATCTTGGGTGGCAAGATCATGCCAGCCTCCAGTGCCTCAGGTTCAAAGCAGTGCTTGCGAGCAAAGAGCATGAAGCCAAGTACCGCCACCACCAGCAATGGTCTTAGGAGCATGGTAATAGAGAAGGGCCAAGCCAGGAACTATGCTGCCTGCAAGAGCTACGCCGAATTCTCCGGCTTTGTCAAACAAGATGGGTCGTGGAGCCAGGTTTGCCGGGAGTCTGGCTTCTTGCATGCTGCGGAGCAGGCGAAGAAAGGTATTTGGGGATGTACAGCATCCATGTTTGTAGCCAGCTGCCAGTTTGGAGATGTCTTCTCTGAAGTGACGTGGCCAATTTCAATATCCCCGGCCGGTTTTAAGTACAGCTCTCCTGATTGTGTCCCGCAGTGCGCCAGCCTTGGCTCTGCTTTTGTGATGCCCAATGCGAAGCCGCCATTGCACACTTACCAAGCTCACTATGACAAAAGCACCGGTTTCTTGAACATGACTTGCCCTTCTGGCTCTTTCCTTTCACAAATCACAGGGTCAGCGCCAGAAACTTAGCGGTTCTTCAATGATTGAACTGCTTGCTGTGGAGCCACTTAAACTTGGGCGCCGCCTGTTTGTTTGGGACACCAACGGTTTATGCTCGGTGTCCCACTCTTTCATGTGGAAAGGTCAGCAGAGACCATCCAGTTTTACTTTGACTGCCGGGGGCCTTGGCCGGCTGTCTTACCGCCTGATGTGAGCAGTCCGAACATGGTGCTTTTTGAGGACGGGCGGACGGGAAGGATGGACGCTCAGAAATCACCAAGTCAAGAGAAGAATTGCATGTGTGTGTGTGTGTGTGTCAACCCTTGTTCCAAAGGGTGCTGCCTGTCTTTTTCTTTCAACTTTGCAAGCAGGGGGACTGCCTGACTCTTAACAGCGGCAGTCCAACGAAGAGGCTGTTTTGAGTCACTGATATGGATTCTGGACGCAGAATCCACGTACCTGCTGAATAACTGTTGACCACGCTGTCCAATTTGATCGGTTTGTTTCATGGTCCTTCCACGTTTCTTCCCCTAAACCCACTTTCCTGCTGTGCTCGTCACCGCATCGACTGTGCAGATCGATCTCGAGGCCACTCGGAAACAATGTTCAACCATACTGTTCCTGCTGACTCATGCGCCTTTCCGTTCCCTCACCTTCCTTCTCACCGTGGGAATTGAGTTAACAGCAAACCAATGTCAGAGTGTGAGCCGCTCAGCCGTCCCACTTGGGTGCTGGGTGTGATCCTCCGCAAGGAGGCGCTGTCATCATTCCGGAAATCGTTTAACAGCTTTGATCGGTCTCACTGATTGTCCTAACTGCTTTCTTCTTTAACCTTGAATTTGCTGCCTTTTGAGCCGCCGGGCTAATACGATGGAATCCTTTCAGACTACTACAGCTTCAGCATGTCACTTCACCGCATGTTCAAGTTTTCAATATGCAGCTGACTTTCGAGCTTCAAGTGTGTACAGTCGACTCACGTTCAATCTCTCACCACAGATTTTCCACACATTCGACTCACCACCTACAGTTTTCTCATCTCATGCCATTTCACTTTCATCTTTCAGATTTTCACCACCATTTCACGACTTCACTTCACGGGTACAAGTAGCAGCGACTCTCAAACAGCTGCTGCGCCGCGCTGCTGCCATTGAGCAGCCGTCACCTTTGAAGCTACAACTTTTGAGTGGAACCTCGACTATCACCAACATCGAGCCAATGCAGTATCCATGGCCTTACCCATGCTGGCCTCAACAGCCACCACCTACAGCAGCCCACACATTTCCCATCCAACCGACACAGCCTCACGTACCTCCCATGATCCCACACATACCACCGACATTGCCTCCAACATGGCAGCATCCACCACAGCCACACTTCCACCCACCAACACAACTCGTACCTCAAATACCACATCACCACACGCTTCCATTCTCCTACTCACTGCCTCCACCGGAGCCCTCGCCAACACAGCCTCCTGCCATCAGCCACAACCACACCCACCACCAGTACCAGTGCCTCATGCACAACCAGCTCCATCACCACCGTGCCAGCCGGCACCAATGCAATGGGACTACAGCCAGGGAGTTTGGCAACCATTTTCGGTTTTTCCGCCAGTCGTCCAACCGGGTCATGTTCCACCAGGCCCAACGCAACCAAGCCAGACCTCGGCAGTCGCCACTTCATCTCCTCCTGACCCTTTGCCTGTTGCAGCACCAGCATCACTTCCAGCCGCGGCCACTCCTGGCCTCCAATCGCCAACCTCCACAGCACCCTCAACACAAGCAGACCGCCCTGGCACTGAGCAAATTTCTTCCATTCCTCTTTCACACCCGCCACCACCTTCGACCGCAGCAGCCTCCAATGGCCTCCAATCCATCCGACAATTCCGGGCACACAGATTCCAAACCCACCACCAGCACACCCACAGACCGTCGCCGCTCCTCCACTCCCAGCGTCCACCGCTCCCAGCCACCAAAGCAGCAGCCACCACCGACCTCATCGTCGCCGCCATCGCCATCATACTCGAGGCAGGCGCACTCGTCGCCACCACACCACGCGCTCAACCACCCAGCAAGATGCCTCTCGCGGACATCATTCAACACGACATCACCGCCAGCGCTCACCTTCTTACTCCTACTCCACCTACTCCTACAGCCGCTCACGCAGTCGTTCCAGGCCACCCATCTCTCTTCTACCCAACAATGACTCAATACAACAGGATGCTGTCACAAACCTCTCACAGACCAGCTATCCCAACATCCCCGCTCTACGCCGACCTGCCAAACCATGGCGACCATTTTCACAATTTCAACAACGCACTCCACAAGAACAACTGGAACTCTGGCTTGATTATCATGCCGACCAACTTGACGCACCCAACAAACCACAGCACACATACATCGCCAAACTGCTGCTCGATAGCGGCTTCACTTACAAAGACCTCTCAGATTTCCGCCCATTCACTCACATCAAATGGAACGACACTGCCAACACTCACGACATCTACCAATACCACTGCATCACCATTCCCAGCCTCGTCCAGAAAGCAACCCGCAGCTTCCCACCCGCTACACGTGCCACCACACCAGAGATGGTATACGCACCAACGCGGGCCACACCGGCCCTCTCGGCAACATCAGCAACATCCTACAACAGGGCCGTTTCCTCCCCAGCACACTCCACTTTGCCAACAACCCCGGGTTCTTTGCCCAAGCCGTACGCATCACACAACAGCCGCAACACGACAACGCAGAACACGCCCGCATTCTCCACAACACATGGAACCTCGCAAAGAACACGCACTCAATCATTGTCAACCTCCTGGCCTGGGGCCAAGGCACCAAATTCACCAGCGGAGGCGAGGAGCACGCGATGAACTTGCTTCTCCAAAACCACGGTGCCGTTTGCCACGCCAAAGCCAGATCCTGGGTGATTCACCCTAACAACGCAATCGTCAAAGGCCTAGCGTGGTCGGTCAACTCCACTCCACCAGACACCTGATTTCCTACCACACCAGCATCCACTCTGAGGGCCACTTCCCTACTGTTTCACCCATCACCATATACCAGTCGCCCAGCCAAAAAAGAACCCGAGCGAGGTTCGACTTCCATGTGCAGCGCTTCCATCAATTAGACACCATGCTTGTTTCACTTCATTGCACGGCAAGTTGATTTTGGATGTTTGCCATGTGACATGTCACACTGCTCCAGTTTCTTTGATGATTTACCCTCTTTGGGATCTCGTTTCAACTTTGAGATGTTGGCCTCCTGACCACGACGGATTTGGATTCTTCATGTCTTTCAACTTCTGGTCCTCAAAGACCTTTTGAGACCTCCATGAAGGCCCCATTTTGCTGCCCGATCAATGTATGTTGCGAAATTCATGCTCGATAATTCGCATTCAATAATTCACTTGCACGCCTCAGCCGCTTGTTCATGTTGCCTGGGCCGCCGCACTGATCCTGACGTGCTACGGAGCTGCTGTTCACAAACATTCATCACCAAAGCCTTCACACAGGATGAATCCGAGCTCAGATCACACTCAGCTGATCCACCGCACCGCCATCGCTCTCACACAACTGCACCGCCTTCTCCAGCAAGCAACTGACATCCTGGCAAATCTACACAGCCTTTACCTGCTCCATACAGGACAGGTCGATGCTCATTTCCAACGATCTTTCCCCCCACTTCCGCCACCTCCTTCATTCACCGTGCCAATACCATCGCCCACTTCTTCTTGCGACTCAGCACCAATTGAGCCAATCAAGCAAGCGCCGCGCAAGCCAACAGCTTCTCAAGACTCCTCTTCCTCCACACCTCCTCCACACCTCCTCCACACCTCCTCCACAGCCACCACAACCCAAGAAGAGACGTGAACCACCACCGCCATTGAACCCCAACGCTGATTGGGACGCTTGGGATGGCGAAGCAGATATCCGACTTGTGGAGCTGAAGCAGCTGAAGACTGACATCCGTCTCCGCCCCAACTGGAACTATGTCGCTCGACGGGTGGGCTTTTCCATCGAACAGTGTAAAGCCCGCTGGCAGGAACTTCAGGAAGAGCAACGACTTCAAGACGCCTCCACACGACCCTCTCCAATCACTTCACCCGTCATCTCCCCCACTCCCACATCGCCTGCGCGTACACCGCCAGCAGTTTCTCCTCCTCCCATTTCACCAGCAAGAACACCGCCAACAACATCCTCCATTACCATCAGCAGCGGATGCCTGCGCAGCTGCTGCGCGGCGCACCAACAGTGAGGACAGTCATCCAGAACCTGTAGATGACCACTTTCTAGGCAGCTTTTTTGTATGATCGCTCAGTCTCACCCCGTCTCCTTCGGCGCGCTGCCGGAAATAGATGCACGCTCAGCCCGTGAATTCGGACAGCCAACAGTCAACAATCTCAATTGTATTTATCTTCTAACTTTTTGCAGTCTTGTGGACCATGCTTCTTTTCATTTTTGAACTTTTCAGCGTTTTTCCACCCGCATCGCAGCCATTTACCATTGAACTTGACTCGTGTGCACCTTTCGCTCTTTCTCAGCCGCTCCATCATGGCTACCGCTCATCCACAGGACACAAGCGGCGCAGAACCAATTTCTGGCGTGAACGCCAGCCATCAGCCCGGCTCCACCCACACACCACCGAGCATTGCTTCGCACACCCACTCCACTCAACCTTTTCTTCCAGGCAACGGTCCCGTACACCTCGCCTCTTCTCTTACCTACCAGCCAGAAATCCTGCTTCTTCACCGACTACTTGACATCCTTTCCCTGCTGGTCACACAAATCCTGGAGCACCCCATGGCAGGGGGCCCTGTACCAAACACCACCATGTTTGTCGACCGCAATGCCTTTTGCCTTTACCACCAATATCACAGCAGCGTCGTTGACCTGGGGCGGGCCACCATGCGCCTAATGCGGGCACGCAGATTGCTCCAATTTGTACCAGGTCCTCCTGGTCTACCTGGCCAATTCCGCTTGGATCCCACCGCGCACTTTCCGCCACACACTACTGACTTTCTCGCCAGTTCACCAACCACTCCACCAAAGTCTCCTACACGATCTCACAGCCACTCAAGCTTTCCACTCTCAACAATCACTACCACCCCCCGAGAACGTTCACGCTCACGCGATCGATCGACATCCTGACTGCGCAACAGATCAGCCACCACCCTTGGACATCAACAACCTATATCGTGAAGCTGACCCGAGTTGAGCCCACTCAGTGGTGAGCCTG